CTACTGGTAGCATTCAGGGACATTCTTCCCCGTAAATGGAAGTTTTCTGTCCTGACTGCCTGGTCCCAAACAACCAACTCGGAGGCTGAATGTGAATTATGAGTGCTCGGCCAATAGCTCAGACTTGTTAATAACTAGCTCTTACATTTTACGTTAACCCGTATTCCTTATTTGTGCTCTGCCATGTGGCGGTGCCTTTCTTAGAATGGCACATTCATCTCCTGCTCCTCCTCTGCATCTGGCTGGTGACCCCCTAACTCCTCCTTTTTTTTTCCCATCATCCTTAGTTTGGCATCCCACCTATACTTCCTCTCTGGCTACTGGCCAATCGGTGTTTTAGTAAACCAATTCCAGTGACAAATCTTTACAGTGTACAAGAGGAATATTCCACAGCACTTCCCCCTTGTGTTAAAACATCTCTGTGCAGCTAGTTGGGGACCTACAGTGTGCACTAGTACCAGACACTAAATCTCAGGTAAGCTGGCTTTCATTTCTTTTAAGACAGGGACTTGTGTATCCCAGGCTGGCTTCTAACTTACTGTGTAGTCATGGGCAATCTTGATTTTCTCATCCTCCGGCCTCCACCCCCCAGGTGCTGGGAACCCAGGTGTATGCTTCACCATGGCTGCTTTATACTGTGCTGGGGATTAAACTGAAAGCTTTGTATAAGCTAGGTGAGCACTCTGCCAAATGAGTTATATCCTCTGCCCCCAGGGTGGCTTTTAAAATCACAGTTTTAATAGAAAATAAACAAGGCAATTAAAGCTTCCCTTACCAGGAAGGAAGAGCTCACTAGATAATGCTTGCTTGGCCTCCAGCTCACTAGCCTATGAAATATGAACAAAATTAAGGCTTGTGGTCCAGAAAGATGGCATAGCAGGCGAAGATGTCTTCCCCAAGCCTGGCTACCTAAGTTCAGTTCCAGAAACCTATGTGGTAGAAAGAAAGACCTAACTGCTGCAAATTGTCCTCTGCATTCCACATATAGTCACACAAGATAGATAATAAAAAAATAAATAAATATTTTAAACAGCAACAAAATTAAGGCAAATTCATGTTAACTGTTAACCACCGGGAAACCCCAAATAGGCAACAATATATCTTGCTTTTCTTATTTTCTCTCATCACTCAGTCTTCTAGAAATATCCTGTTCCTGCAAAATTCTTAATGACCCATTTTTCCCCTTACCACATACCATTCAGGCATTTCCCTGCCAGATTAGGGCTCTCAGTCAAAAGAGACCAGGGTGGAGAAAGGGACTCAAAACCACAGGGAAGAGCATTTAACATTATGATAGTATATATGGAGGGTGGGAAGGATGCTCAGTGATTGAAAATGATATCAGTGTTGGCCATGTTTTCTGGCCAGTGCCCTGATGTGAGTTGAATACTTGTGTTAAATGAGATTTGGTGACTCGTGAAGGTCAGTACATCTTGTCTCCCTAAGCCTTTTATCCACCACCTCCATACTCAGACCCAGCCAGATCCACAACAATCCTGGGGGAGCCTGTGAAAGTAGCCCACTTGGATCGGGTAGCTCTGTAAACCCGCATCAAAGGCTTAGGAGCTTTGTGTTCTGACCTTGGTCTTGTGCAGAGGAAAGGTTTTCCCACAAAGCCTATGCCCAGCAAAATGTAATCACAGGGTCATTAATTTTTGCCTTCCTAATAGAAAAGCAACACTGTTTTTCTCATCTAATTTGCCTCATTGTTTAGCTTCTCATTAACAGTGGGGACATAAAGGGGTACCTCAAGTTTTCGTTCTTCTGGTATATTTAAACTTCATTTGGTTTCTTTCCCAGTGGGCAGTGTTGGCCCCAGATGTCATTCGTCTTAGAAACTTCTTTTTATTTTTATTTATTCTATTTGTTTATTTGTTTTGGTTTTGTTTTGGTTTTATTAAGATACCATCCCATATACACCAGGCTGGCCTGCAACTTGTGATGCAACTTAAAATATTCTTAAACTTCTGATCTCTCTTCCTCTACCTTCTGTGTGCTGGGAATCCATGGCTGGCCTTATTAGAATATCCTTTGGCAGCACCTTAAGAATTGAATGATTGAGAAATAAGGCCATGCAGGGTCTTCAAATTTTCACTCTCACTCCAATCCAAGTCATTGGTTAATGTTACTTTTCAAAGTGGCCAAATAAACCTGTCCCAGAAAGTACCTCATTTGTTAGTGGTGAATGAAATGTAAACTCACTACGGTGAGAAAAAGGATAGTATGTATTGAAAATTTCCCTTCTGCAAAACAAACACACCAGCTGCAGATGGCGTCTGTCTTCTTGATTCTAAAATGACTGGTCAGTTTGAAAACATATGGGCCTTACTGCCGGCAGGAATGTAGATTGATATATTCATTTTGGAACCAGTCTGATGTTGTTGTGGAACAGTGTATATTCATATACTCCCAGGCTGAACCCCAGGGAAATGTGTGCTTATGTGTATTGCTTCTAATAGACATAGCATGTTTCTAGCAGGGGGAAAAAAAAAGTTGGAAAAATGTGAAAGTCCATCAATAGAAGGGAAAATATATATCTATACATAATATATTTTCACACTGCAAAACTGTTAAAAGTAAAACTGACATGTGTTAAATTTAACAAAGTTTACTTAAGCAAGAAAAAAAGGTTCTAGAACCGGGCACCATTCCAGAACAAAGATGGGTTGGAACGCTCCACCCAACCACATTACAGGTTATATTTATAGCCTAAGGAAAGGAAGTGACATGCAGACAGAACTTGATTGGCAGCAGTTGCCATTGGACTTCTGTAGATATGGTCTGATCAGTTGGCAGCTTATGATTGGCTAAACCTCGACTCTCGCGATTGGCTGAGACTTAGTTGCTTCGTTATATGCCTATACTCTACGCTTAGATTAGATTATAACTTGTTTATCCATCAAGCTAGGACATAATTGTACCATGTGCAAAGGCTGCATTGGGCCAGACTTTACCACCCAAGTACAAAGCCAAGTTCAAGCCAAACTGATTCAGTTTAACAACACAGTGGAATATTATATAGTGGAAATGAGCAAACTCAAGTCACCTAAAACAAACTCAGTAAATCTTAGCAAAAACATTGTGGGGATCTAGTTGCAGGTGACTGTATGCATCGTGATAGAATTACTGAATGCATTTTATAAGCCGAGATTGTGCCTCAGTGTGTTATCATTCTTGCCTAGAATGCATGTAGCCCTGGGTTCGATTCCTAGCACCAGATAATCCAGATGTTCTGGTGTGTGCCAGTCATCTCAGCCCTCAGGATGTAGAGGCAGGAGCATGACAGTGACAAGTTTGGGGACATTTATGTAGTAAGTTAGGGATCAGCCTGGACTACATGCGAGCCTGTCTTCAATTAAAAACAAAATCTTAAACTTAAAACCACACATTGTCGGGAGCAGTGAATAAAAAGCAAAGGGCAGCAGTTTGCTTTGGGAGAGAAAGCAGGAGGATACTTCAGGGGAGAAGTGGGGTGTTCCCATCACCAGAGTGGTCAGGGATCTGGCAGTCTTGGGTGCTGGGCTTCCAAGGTGATATACATATCACATATACATATTATAGACATTCTTTTTGCAGGCTTCAAATCTTGTATAGTACAAAATATTTTTAAAGCTATACGTAGGTCAGAGTTCTCCCTTTTTGCCCCCACTTTCTGCCTATCATACATGATAGTCCCTTTCTTTTGCAAGTGTGTATTGCATACACGTATGTGCATGTGTGCATGTTTGGATGCACGGGTATGCTTGTGCCTGCAGAGGACAGAGATCGACCTCCAGTGTTGTTCTTCAGGAGCTATGATTTTTCTTTTGAGAAAGTCTCTTATTAGTTCAGCACTAGCCAAGTAGGGTAGGCTGGTCGGCTACCAAGCCCCAGGCATCTGCTGGCCTCCACCTCTCCAGCACTGGGCTGTAATCATGCACCATGCATGGCCTTTTTTAAAAATGTGGTTTCTGAGGGTGTAACTTACATCCTCTTGCAATTGCACAACAAGCACTTCACCAACCAGGCATCCTTGCCGGCCCTCATAGTTTCTGTTCATAGTGTCGGGAAATCACACAGAAGTGGTTCAAAGCTGTGGTTCCTCAGCGAAGCCCCTGGGACCATTGCTGGGAAGAGGTTACCAGGAGAGGATGACACCAGGAGCTCGGTGGAGTGGGCTGCACGGGACATCAGTGCAGTGCTGTCGTTCCTACTTAAAGCCTAGAAGATCTTGCAGTATGGATAAAAGAACACCCCCCTCCCAAAGCAGGTTCCATGACCCCTCTGAAAATCTGTATTTATTGTCCCAACAGTGACTAATGCATCTGAGGTGGGTCATTTGCCAAAGATGTGATTATGAAAAGCTGTTTCCTTGGCAGCCCACTGTTCGTTTTGAGCAACATGTGGCCTTTGGAGCCAGTGAGGCAGGAGTTGGCATGCGTGCAATGATGTCACAGGTACACAGGCAGGCAGATTGTCACGGCCTCAACACTTGGGTCTTGAAAAATTCAAGGTGGCCATGTGAGAACTCAGGGCATTCGGAAATGAAAAGTTATAATAAAACAGGACATGGAAGCCAGATTGGGGGATGCTGCCTGCCTGAAATGTGGTCCAGTATCTGAAGGGAGGACCTGAAGCTTGGATGGCTTCCCACACACACATGGTATACCAGCTCACATCAATCTGTAGTTCCAGTATCGGGGTATCTGGTGCCCTCTTCTGGCTTCTGCAGGCACCAGGCACACAGATAGTACACATACATATACACAGGCAAAACACTCAGGACACAATATCAGTAAGTCTTTAAAGGAAAAGAAAGAATCAGCGTGGTCTTGATGGCTCCTGAGAACAACCTTGAATTTTCCTGAAAGATCAGAGTCAAGGGACAGGATTATTTAATCCTTTTTGTTTAAAAATTATAGTGTGTGTGGTGTGTGTGTGTGTGTGTGTGTGTGACTTCAGATTGTGTTAATTAGGGCCACCAAGCTGCATATTCACCTGTCTTGTTTCCATATTCACAGGTTCAGGCCTCTTACACTGAATTTCTCTACTGCCAACCTTTCTACTCAAGCAAAATCTTCAAGAAACGATCTGCTGGGAAGAGAGTGTCTGCCCGTGGCTTTGCACTGTGATGAAGGCGAATGGTACAGGTGAGAAAGGCTGAAGCTGGGAGCCAAAGTCATTGCCATTTAGTATTGAAATCCCAAGACACTAGTGAGTGTATATCAGTAACTCTCCAAGAAGGTGGTGCAGAAACACACAAGTGCACACAAACACAGGCGCGCGCGCGCACACACACACACACACACACACACACACACACACAAGTATACACATAGGAACAATACATATCTACACATTAGCCTTCTACTTATTTTTCTGCAGGCTTTTAATGAAAGGGAACTGTTGCTTCTCCGCACATATGTAAAAGTGTGGTGTGCATGCTTGTGTGTAGGCATGCTCACATGGAAGTGCAGTGCACATGTTTGAGTGTATGTAGAACTCAGAGCTTAATGGTGGAAGTGCCCCTCAATCACCCTCCACCTCCTGTATTGAGGCAAGGTCTCTCAGCTGAACACAGAGATAATGTGACTTGTGTAGCTAGCCAGCTTTCTCGGGAAACTCTGTCTCTCCCTTCAGTTGGAATTACAAGTGGGTTACCATGCCCACCTGGCTTTAATGTGGATTCAGGTGTCTGAACTCTGTTTTTTTATTCTTGCACAAAAAGTGCTTTATCCACTGAGCCATATGTTCTGTGGAGTCCCTTTAGTCTTTCTTTTTTTTTGTAGAAAAAATATAATGTTTGCATATTTTGAGGTGACTGATAAGATGTGACAAGCCAATGATAAGTAAGAGATAACTCTTACAGTGATATTCAGCTGTAGCGACAACTGTCAGACAGTAGTAGAGTACAGAATAGTATATAATGTCCTCTAATATTTGTTTCTCTTGACAGTCAACATCATTTAATGGCAATGTCCTTTTTCTTTTACAATGTAACTTTCCCTGATTATGTAATTTTCTGGCAAGCATGGAAATTTCATTACTTGATCCTCTTCAGCTGGTGTTGAATTGTTTACATTTTTTTTAACTTTCATGCTATCAGAAAGTTCTTTTAGCTGTAGTAAACCCCATTATTAATGGCTTCTTCTGGATAATTGCCTATCAGTGAACCGCTGAATAAAAGAGTTTTCAGATTTGAAGTTTTAATACATTTCTAAATTACTTTCCCAACAAACAGTAGTAGGTTCTACTTCCAGAAAGAGACAGAGAAGTGGATCTCTGTTCTCAAAATCCTGGATGCTGAGAGTTCTGGGAGCAGAAAGGGTGCCTTGCCAATTGACAGTGAGACATGACCTGTGTGTGTGTGTGTGTGTGTGTGTGTGTGGTGTGAAGGGACGTGTGTGCATGCAGACATGTGTGCATGCAGAGGAGGGGATTCGCTTGCAGATCACACTGCTTGCTAAAACTCGCCTTCCGTAGACAGAAGCACACTGAAAACTTGCCAGATTTGGACATTTGAGAGATAATACTAAAGAGCCCTGGGGAACTGTGAGGTCTTTCTTTCCAGCCAAGTATTTTCAGACAATTGTGAAATCACAGAGTAGCCAGCATTTTTCAGAAAAAAAAAAAAGTGAAGCTTTTCTCTGCTTAAAAAGAATATGGAGATAGTTCATAAAGAGCCTTCAGGTGAAGCAGTCTGGAGAGGGACTTCTGAGTATTAGAGGCACACATGTGTCTGTGACTATCTAGCATGCGTGTGTATGCTGTGCCCAGCAGCAGGAAGTTGCTTATCTTATATGACATAGAGGTTACTGATCCCTAGGACCACTGCTGGGGCCCCGGCGACAGCCCTGCTCTTTCTCAGGGATGCCATTCTAAATTTGCCTTTGTGAGATGTAGATACAAATAGTGCCCATTGCGAGAGGAGATGCTCATGTGACTGTGGCCAGTCTGTTTTCATTAACCCTTGTGTTGAGGGAACATGTATTGATACTAGAAAATGATTGGCTATGGGTCGGGTAGTGTGGTGCACACCTACGCTCCCAGCACCCAGAAGCAAAAGGATCAGGAATTTAGGTCTGGTGTATCACATGAGACCTTATCTCAAGAAAACAGAAACAAAAACAACATCCCCTCCAGAAAATGGGGGCTGTAGAGGTTGGCTCAGCAAATAAGAGTGCTTGTTCCACCATCATGGGGACCAGAGTTCAGATCCCAACATTTGCATCACAGGCAAGGCATTCTGGAAAATGTCTATAGCATCAGCTCTAAAGAGGAGTTGAGACAGGATTCCAGCCTAGTCGAGTAGATACAAACCCCAGGTTCTGGGAAAGGCCCTGCCGGAAAGGGATGGATGGAGAGTGGTAGAGGACACCCGACACCCTCTGCTGGCATCTGTGGGTACATGTGCACATTTATCCACATACACGTATGTACGGACACAGACACACATGCAAACAAGTAAGTCCTTTAATAGAGAAACCGATTGTGATAGGGGATACAAGTGGACAGGCATAGTACCATGGTGCTAAGCAGAGTGGAACTCCGCCTTACACGGAGAGACGCCACTGAATATCTCCAAGGAAAAGACCCATTTTCTACGGGATTTTAAATTACCACTCTACTTACTGGCTAGGGCACCCAAGCATCAGTCCTGCCAGGTTTCCTTGGGCCAGGCCTGTGTGATGGATTCTCATTCCTACCCAGGCTGCCTCACCATGGTACAGAAAGTGTCTCAGGCCAGGAAGGTATCAGGTCTTTTGTGAGCCACACAGCCAGAGTCCCTAAACGTCTAGAGCCAAGTGTGAAGTGATCCACTCAGCTCTCGTCCTTCTCCTATCAATCAACAAGCTTCAGTTAATGAACAGAAGCAATGAAAAGGTAGGGGAAGAACGTTATCTTCCTTAGTTCTTGGCAGCATGTACTCCAGCCTACAAAAGGAAAGGCTAGATGAGCTGGAGCGGCGGCTCAAGAGCTAAGAGCGCTGACTGCCCTTCATAGGACCTGGATTCAATTCCCAGCACCCACGTGGTGTCTCACAGAAGTAATTAACTCCAATCCCAGGAGATCTGGCACCCTCTTCTGGCCTCCTCAGGCACTGCGCATACTTGGTGCACAGACATATACATAGAGTCAAAACACCTATATACATAAAATAAAAATATATAAAATATAAAGAAAAAAGAAAGGACAGTTGGGTTCTGAGTCACTCCACCGTTTGGCCACATATTGAGATTGAAAAGTGGGAGGAAAGAGGGCCCAAAGTGATTTTTCATCAAATGAGACAAACACAGAGCCACTTGGATGGCTTCAGCCACTGCCTTTCACTGGGTCTTCTGCAGCTGGTTTGTGTGTGTTGGCATTGTATTCACCAGGGCTTTGATTTCCAGTCTCATTCAGGCAGCTTCCTACTTAGCAGAAGGGAAAATCTGAATTCCTAATTAAGGCATTTTTTTTTTTCTGAAGATTGCCTCTTAAATGTCATGAGTGAATCTTTCACAGGTAATGGTGAGATTGCATAAGAAAACAAAAGCGGGTATTTTAGGCAAGTATGTATATTGGCTAAAAGGAATTAAATTCATGAGAGAGAGACAAAATAAATGTGTGTTGACAAATATACACTATACAAAGAGTTTGCTGTATTCTGCCAGACTCGGATGAGGCACCTCATGCGTGTAGGTAGGAAGGCTGCATGTAGCCAATGCGAGCATGGAGACGCTGCCACTATGCCGAAGGCATGGTGTCTGGATAGCACTCAGTTTCCTCGATGTCATGATCAGTAAAGACTCAAACAGGGAGGAAGAAAGGAGCTGTTAGCTGTGACTCCCAGGCTGCTCTGCAGAAATGTAGGCATCGTAGTTCTCTGGAGTTTACCAGAATAAATGCCAGCAGGTTGTTGAAAAGGGGAAATCTAGAATGAGAAAGCAGAGAAATTGAAGAAAGACCTGTGGGTGAGAAAAACATGAAGCAGAGAGAACCAAAGAATAAATGGGGACTGGAGATGGAGTGCCTTTGGCTACAGCTCCAATCTGGAAAATGATGAAGACAGGGACAGGAGTGTACTGGGAGACTTCCCTCCAGTGGACCCAAGTCTTGGTCCATTTGGACTTAAGTTTTGTGCATGGCGATAGATATGGATCTAACTGCAGTCTTCTACATGCCAGCATCCAGTTATGCCGGGACCATTTGTTGAAGATGCTTTTTTTTTCATTGTATAATTTTAGGTTCTTTGTCAAAAATCAGGTGTTCATAGGTGTGTGGGTCCATATCAGGGTTTTCAATTCGATTCCAGTGGTCTACCTGTCTATTTTTATGCCAATACCAAGCTGCTTTCAGGACTATAACTCTATAATAGAGCTTGAAGTCAGGGATGGTGATGCCTCCAGAAGTTCCTGTATTGTACAGGGTTGTTTTGGCTATCCTGGGATTTTGCTTTTCCATGTAAAGCTGAGTATTGTTCTTTCAAGGTCTGTGAAGAATTGTGCTGGGATTTTGATGGGGATTGCATTTAATCTGTAGATTGCTTTTTTTACTATGCCATTTTTACTATGTTGATCCTACCTATCCAAGAGCATGGTATTTTCTGGTATCCTCTTTAATTTCTTTCTTTAAAGATTCAAAGTTCTTGTTATACCTGTATTTCACTTGTTTGGTTAGATATTTTATGTTGTTTGTGGCAATTGTAAATGGTGTTGTTTCTCTGATTTCTTTCTCAGCCATTTATCATCTGTATATAGTAGGGCTACTTTTTAAAAAAAAATTAATCTTGTATCCTACCACTTTGCTGAAGGTGTTTATCAGCTGTAAGAGTTTCCTGGTAGAATTTTTTCCGTCACTTGTAAAGTATCATGTCATCTGCAAATAGTGAAAGTTTGACTTCTTCTTTTTTTTTTTTTTTTCCAATTTGTAGCCCCTTGATCTCCTTTTGTTGTCTTATTGCTCTAGCTAGAACTGCAGTGGATCTTCTGATTCCTGTAAGTGTATGCATGCTAAAAACATAGAAGTTGTTTTGGTGTATGCTAATACCCTGTTACTTCCTCATCCTTGCAGGAGATGATTAAAGGTACAAATCCGAAAATGCAAATGCTTCTGAAGCTAATGAATACTACATTTTTTCTATATATGCACACAGATGATAAAAGTTATC